TACTGGAGTTTCGTTATTGATAACACGACTAGGGAGCATGTTAATGATGTCAACAGCTGTGAGAAAAGCTTCATCCCAGAATTTTAGAGGCCTGGAGGCGCCAGCTAAAAGAGCAAAGCCGACCTCAATAATGTGCATGTGCTTGTGTTCGGCAGAACCGTTTTGTTGGTGAGTGTGGGGGCATGACACATGGTGATAGATGCCGAGAGTTTGAAAGAAAGAATTTAATTTCTCATACTCTCCGCCCGAGTCTGATTGGGCAACAAGTATCTTGTAGTCAAACTGGCGTTCAATGAGTGCTTGGAAGTTTTTAAAGACTTGAAAAACATTGGATCTTTTCTTGAGAGGATAAATCCAGGAGAATTTACTGTAGTCATCTATGAAGCTAACATAGTATGTATGTCTACCAACTCAGTTGGGAGCAGGACCCCACACATCTGAAAAAATAATTGCAACAGTTTGGTAGAAACACTCGTAGAAATAGGATAGGGTAGCTGATGACTTTTAGCTCGTTGACAGGAATCACAAACAGTTTCAATATTGTGCTCACCAACAAACGGGAGTTTATTCTTCTAAGCAATTTTTCAACTAAAGAAAAAGAAGCATGTCCTAAACGATCATGCCATCGTGTGGGTGAAAGCTTGATAGCACCACAAGCTTGTTTATTCAGTCTCCTAAGCTCCGGTCAACGGATAGAGTCCACAAACACATCTACCTCGATAGAGAATGCTCTTCCTCGCCTGATCCTTGATCAAAAAGAAATAAGGGTGAAATTCAAGGAAGACATGATTATCAAGGGCAATTCTATGGACAGAAAGGAGACTCATATCGGCATTTGGAACATGCAAAATTTTCCTAAGATGAATTCTACGAGAAGGGGTACTAAAACTTGAATGACCAATGTGACAGATCTCCATACCTTCACCACTAGCTGTGTGGATTTCGTCCTTGCCGCGGTATTTCTCCTTCATGGTCACCTTCTCGAGCTCGTGGTGATGTGGTTGGTGGCGCCGCTGTCGACGTACAAGTTGGTGTGGATTCCGTAGGAGCCATCTGCAGCCGCCGCCACCTTGTCATCTTCTTCAAAGGAGTCGTCGTCCTCTTCATAGCGGTACTAACAATCTTTTGTTGTGTGCCCCAACTTGCCGCATATCTGGTAGCGAGGAGCATCGAGTCGTGCACGAGGGTTGCCGCCACCATGGCGAGTTCTGTTGTTGGAGGGAGCACGCCCGCCATTGCGGGAGTTGGAGCCACCGCCGTTTCCGCCTCCACTTGACCTCCCCCTACCCCGGGAGAAACCGCCGCGCCGAGAGGAGCCGCCATGACCGCGAGATGCCGAGTTCACGGAGGACTTGAAGTCGCCGCCGCTGGACCCGTGGAAGTGCACCATCCGCTGATCAAAGTTGGAGAGCATGGCGAATAACTCGTCGAGGGTGACGGAGGTTACGCGAGCGTCCAGAGCAGTGATCAAAGGCTGGTAGTCAACATCGAGCCCGTGGATGATGTAGGAGATAAGCTCATCGTCGAGGATCACCTTGCCCGTCGTGGCTCGCTCGTCGGCGTAGCCATGCATGGTGGCGAAATAGGAGGCGACGGAGAGGTTGCCCTTCGGCGCATTGATGAGCGAAGTGCGGATGTTATTGATGCGACTCGCCGATTGCGACGAGTACATGCCGGCGAGCGTCGTCCAGAGCGCGCCCGCAGTGGTGACCGTGGTCACCGTGAGGAGCACCTCCTTTGTGAGGTTGCCCAGCAGGTAGCCAAGGACCTGCTGGTCCTCCCTGACCCAGATTGGGTGGAGAGGGTTGGGCGTTGAAGTCTCCTTGCCTTCCTTGGTGGTGACAAGGACCTTTGCCGGCTCTGGGTGTGTGCCGTCGACGTAGCCGAAGACCCCGGCGCCACGCAGTTAGGGTATGACCTGCGTGCGCCACAGCACGTAGTTCGTGCGAGATAGCTTCTCGGTGACCTGGCCACTGAGACTAGCCGGGAAGGAAGCGCCGGAGGAGGAAGACATGGTGGCTTCGGCACAGATGGTTTTGGTAGCTAGATGAGTTGAAGAAGAGGGGCTCTGATTACCATGTGCGAGCGGTGAAACGTCTTGCCCTATTGGGGGCGACGTGTTCATGTTATATAGCAGGGGAGCCAAACCCTAGATGGCTTACATGCGTGTGGTTACAGGAGATAAGAGAGAACCAAGATACAACTTGAGGGAGAAGAAAAACGAGAGGAGATATATCTCATACAAACTACCTCCTAGCTATATCTCTATATCCCAACTATATACCGCACATGTGATGTTTAACATGGTCCTGTTTCCGCGAGACGATCGGTGGACCGTGGTGCAACACCAACTTCCCTTGCTTGCTGAAATCCACGCCTCCCCCCTCACCGCCATATTAGATGGCTGTGTGTTGGGGTCCTTGCCTGGACGCTTTGGACCATCCGGAATAAGCTTGTCATTCAGAAATTTTCTCTTCAACGTGCGACTGACACAATCTTCAAAAAATGTGTGGTTACTTGCAGGTCTGGCGGCCGCTTAGCCGCCCACAGGACCGAGACGCCATTAACACTCTCCTCGCCGACCTTCGAACGATGGCCTTCCGCATGGCACCCCTCCTGCTGCCTCCTCCTCCGGAGCCCAGCTAGTCCCTCTGTTTCGGCTGCCGTGTGTGAGAGTTTTTTCTGTTTTCAGGGCTTGTTGAGATGTGCCCTCAGCACTAACCCTTGGCTACTTCTTTGCGTGTGAGACTTATGTGTGCGTGTGTGTGAACCTTGTTGGATGTTTGGCTTGGGCGCTTTGCTTTATAATACTAGATGAAACCCCGCACGTTGTTGCGGGAATATTTTATCATATATTTTAATTAGATTTGATTGTGTGGAACATGAATATTTGGACTAATATGAGAACTAAAAGTGAAAATACAAATGATTTATTGTGTAAAATTAGTAAATTACTCTACAGTTATAAATATTTATTAAACATGACTAAAATGAAAATTCTCATGCATGTTTCCATGCTGAGGTAGCTTTTACTTGTGCCTGGGTGCATGTTAAGGTGGACCTTCTCACATCCATTTTGACTGATGAGATGGCATTCTTGCATGCTGAGAGAAATATGTTAGTGGGGGCTAGCTATTTAGATATAGAAGATAAAGCCGGGTGAAAGCCTTTTTCGGTAAAGCGCACTTGAATTAAACGATTCCCGGCCCGGTATATACTCTGGTCTGCTTGATTTTGAGAAACAACTGAGCTTCGGTTTGCCTATGGGTCTACCCATTGTTGAGTCGTTTGGATCAGCGATCTGTGGCCATTCCAGGTCCGTCGAGGTAATACAAACGTTCGACGCCATACGCCTGCTGTTAGTTTCCAATAAAAGTTGTCACCAAGTTTTCTCGTCGTTGCGTCCGCCATCAACACCAATCTGGCATTTCGCTAGCTCTACTCTTCAGGGTTCAGGCCAAACAGTGAGCTCCTATTCCCATAGTCAAGTGCCCTAGTATTATTCATGCTGCTCGAGCAAGCAAATCATGATTATACTGCTTATTACAACAATAAAGATATTCAAATGGGATGCGCTCACAAGTCCTGAGAAAGCGTTCAGAGCCCAAGCATGTTGTGTCAATGTTCTCTATGGATCATTAGCAAATTATTCAGTGGACAAAAGGTGCATCTGAGTATAACGTTGCTGCAGCTCAGTCATCTCGTCGCAAGCTTCTCCACTCTAGTGCCTTGTCGTTCATCCAATCCATCTCATCCTCACTACTAGAGCAACCTGTATGAAAAATATAGAATGATATTATGTTAGAAGCAACATCCGCTGTTGAACTGGTAACCATGTATGTAGAATTGCAGATCAGTGTTCTCAAAAAAAAAAAAAAAACTGTAGATCAGTCAACACTACCTTACCTGAACACAAGTCATCTGAAGAAACAGAATTACTGAAAACATGTAAATGCTCTTACGGGTACAGGATTTAAGTTTATAACCCTTGTGTGCATTTGGCTAGGAGAGAACTGGGTCATGAAATCCTGTATCTAGTGCACCCACAATCAAAACAAACTAAGCTACAAGTAGGAGGCACTGATAAAGGGAATAGAGCTGGACATGTTGGTTTGGATTGTTCTAAACTATGACCTTTTATTCATGAGCATCCTCTTTGGTGCCTTTTGATTGCTTTATTAGCCTAAACTGTTTTCTTTGAAATATTTACTGGGTAATAATATAAAAAGGACAAGTTCGATCGGCTTAAAAGAAGAAAAGCATCAACTGTGATATTCTTGGTAAAAGTTTATATTGAAATATTTTGCAAGGTACATACACAATATGCATGCGTATTTTTTACTTTTCAATGTATTGTAGGGGGTCACAGGAAGGAATTATTTCACATGTCTGAGGGTCAACGCACTGAGATTGCCTTATCCGAGGAACAATTTTCCTGTACTTACTTTGCATGTATATTCGTCTGTGCATAATATGGTGATCTGTTATGTCTACATTCTCTGTAGACGATGTTTGCACCGCTACAAAGACTGAATGATCTCTCTATTTGTGAAATTGACAGTAAACTGAATTCACATCAAAAATTAGTTAGAATCTTATCTGTGGTTCTACCTGATAGCATAGCTAATCTCCACCTTAATTAGTCCAAAATGATCCCTTGCCCAACACAGATCCACTACTGGCTACAACTAGCTTAATTTCTCATCAATCTTGGAAAAAACATTAACTCTCCTCAACACAGCATGTGCTACACTGCTGTAGTTTCTTGAGTCGGAATAATTTTCCTGTATTTTATATTTATACAGTATGTTTCGGTTGACTATATTGGTCAAGACGTGCCTACACTCACGTTACTACTAGTAACGCTTTGATAATCTAGATGTATTACGCTTAATATTACAGGCACATCATTCCAAAAATAATATATATGAAGAAATGTTGAAATAAAATTATTTGCCTGATATTTCCGCTTATCTCCTAAGAGATAAGTAAGTTGGAGATTATAAAATATGGATGAAGGCGGCCGCAAGAGCTATCAGGCCGTTGCAGTAAGGTGGTGCACGATGCCTGAATGACTCACTGATAACAGGTGGATTGTACGATGTCACATTGGCACCAACTAATGGGGTGCTCGTGTTGAGGTGGGAGCCTGAAAAATGATAGAAAATGGCCGTAAATTTGGGAGAGCGCGAACTATGGAGCTATTAGATTATGGAGAGAACTCTACACTTACAGTTATAGTGAACCCAGCCAATCTGCTTAGTCTCCAAGTTATACATAAAAATCTTGTCATGTAAAACAATATCTGCAATAAGAGGCACCCATTAGTTAGCCATAAAACTCCCCAGACTTGAGAGAATGAGAAGCATGATTGGACAGTTTTACTGTATTTAGTTGCTAGGTCATCGCTAAAGGAGAGCTATTCATGCAAAGTTCGGATGAGCACAATATCAAAAGTTAAAGAAGGCATGGAATCTGGCTATGTTTTTTTTTTTTTGCGGGGGGAATCTGGCTAAGTTAGCCGATGAGTAGATGGCTAACCTCCAAGTATAGTGGTATGTTGGAAGAAATTATCGAGGCCTTTGCTTGGTTGAAAGCCAATGCACAACATGGGATCCTTGTCCTGCAAACCATCCTACAGACCATGATATGATATTATTGCTCCTTCACAATTAGTTAACAGATATGCAATTGTAAATATGTTTAATACGGGTAACATCAGAAGGTGATTTGACCTACATAATGAAACATGGGCACAAGATAGTCCTTTGGGCCCATTGTCATCGAAGCACCACCGTCAAAATATAGTGTCACTGTTGGAAATAATGAGACATTGCTAGTGGAAAAGTAAAATAATAATTTGTTAAACAATTGACATTTTGAAGGACATCAAAGGTTTAATTGCTCGTAAAAAGACCTTATGTTTTTATAATAACATTGGCTCCCATTCATGATGAAAGAGTTTATAGAACCAGCATGGGCGACGTCATTTATCTGTTGATGGCCAAATACGAATCGTTACGTGGCTAACGGTGGCACGATAAATTATTAAAGTAACAAAGACTGATTTAATTATTGATTTTTCAGCAACGAGACAATAAAAATGTTGGACATGAAGAACTCACCGCTGTAATAACTGGATCATACGCTCCATCTGCAAGGTACACTAATGTTGTTCCTGAATCCACAATGGTTCCTTGTGCATTTGATGTTGTAAGCCAGGAAGAATCAATGGATATGTTTTTACCATTGACAGCAATGCCCTTCATATTCACGTTGTAATGGTCCCTGTATTTTATTGACAAAAGGAGTTTGACATACCTAATTCAGGATATTTCACTTGGAATGGCAGATTTCACATTCTGAAAAATAAAAATCCTAGCAATATAATTTGCATATGTCCGCATAAGTAAGTCATAGTTTTTTGAGGGGAAGAAGGGGACTAAGAAAGGACATTATTGTTCACGCATTTCTAGCCCATTAAAGATTGTAAAAAAAATCTCACTTAATGTGGAGAGTAAAACATTGTTTAAATACACACAACCTATAAATAAACTATGCAAACATTGCAAATGAAGACAAGGAGATGAGATTGTGCAAATTAAATATTGGCCAAATCTGTTATTTCATCTGCTCCACTGATTTCTAGCCTCCATTCTATGAAGGGTGTAACTCCAAGTAAAAGAACTTACTGTGATGGGATTATGGGAGTAAACACAAGTCCTGTCCACTTAACTTCACCAACAACAAGAATGCCACCACCATCTTTTGAACCGTCTTTTAAACCCCTGAGGCAATGAGAGAACACCTTACTGGACACCCCTTGAGAATTCAGTTGTGAGATAGCAGAGATCGCATTCTGTCCAAATCCAATAATCCCATCTGTCTGAAACTGATATGATCGCGAGTTGCTACATCTGTTTAAAAAAGGACTTCACAAGGTTAACTTAGATAGGGTTTTTAACTGTCTATCCATTACTGACCATTACTAATGTTAAGTTTCCATTATATAATGCATAACTTAAAGTGAGATAGGACTGAAAACTGTACCCAAAAAATATAGATGCAGAACTTGTAACCCGCTTTTGACCCACGTATTTGTCGAAATAGAAAGTGTCAGACACATAGTACCCTGACGCGGCAGTTCCATCAGCATATGTCTCAGCATAGCTACATTGTTTGTTTGGGTATTCTGATGTCTGACATACTGCATACCCTGTTTCTAGGGCATGTGCACACATTTTATCAGAGCATGATATCCTAGACGACGTTGAAGAAGAATCTGGGTTGTAGTTCTCCAATTTGATCTGAAGAGAGAAATGAATTAGCATGAGAAGACCTGATTTCATCACAATTTTCTAAAAAAAAGCTAGTTCTTAAAGAGGTGGATAAGAGATATGACAAGGAGTGCCGCACGTTGGGATTAGTTGATGCTGGGCAACCTGTGCAAGGGGTGCAAGAAACCCACACAAGGTCGCTGCCAGTGTCAAATTGGAGAGTGTACTCTTTTGGTGGTGTTCCCAATTTCACACCGGTATAGTAGAGCCTGAAAATTAGTTGTTTAGATACATCAATCGCCAAAGGAGTGGTCTGATTTGAAATAACAAAAATCATGGTTGTACATTCTGTCTTCTGTGAGATGATAATGCGAAAAAGAAGTTTGACGACAATCACACTATAAAACACATTGGTCAAGTAAATTTAAGAGCATAAGGAAATCAAAATTAGTTTCGTTCTCTCGGGCGGTTGTCATCAAAGTGCAAAATGGCAACACTCTAAAAAAGACTTTCCCTGTTGCAGATGCTAGATGGTCAATCTCTCTCTCTCTCTCTCTCTCTCTCTCTCTCTCCCTCCCTCTCTCTCTCCCATAATCTTTTGGCATGTTAAAAATTAGTAGGTTTTGTAACTAATATTGTGAGTGAGTTGCAAAAAACTAGGCAATCATACCATATACTTATTTCAGTTTATTGTGCACATATTACGAAAGTGGGAGCTATTGCGAAGTTTATATATCTTTCGCCTTCAGTGGAAAAAAAACTTAGCCTGCAATGTATTTGTGGACTGTCAGTTTCTTTATGAAAACATGCATACAAAACTATTGTACAACCGAATCTTGTGTTTGTTACTATCAACCTGGTAGAATCAAGTCTCAGTTACAATACTAGTTTTTTTTAAACTAGTTACTGTACTAGTTTTGGGGAAAACATGATAGCAAATCACTAAGGATATGATGGCTGGCAGGCATCAGCAAATCACTAAAATCGTTCCTTACTACAGGCAGGAGTAGTTAGCAAAACATATATATACTCAGATTATGAAACTTGTTGTTTCTCCCTGCGGCAACTCAACAAATATTTGTTGACTGTGCACTTCATATGTGTAAAATTTCTTCTAGCTTGCTAGGAATAGAAAAGGGGACATATACTAGATGAATTGGACCTAATCCTATATACCGAAATTCTATCTGTTATATGGCTTTGATAAACGGTACTAGCATCTGATGAACAAAGAGAACTCAAGAAAGCACTTACACCGACGTTCCTCCCAGGGAGTACTCCACGACATTTGTCTTCATTGACAAGTGCTTCCTGTCCAAAATCTTTAGCTGTTCGAGCCGTATGCCGGTGAGCGGCAGCGTACGCTCCAGACCTAGCACCGTGACTGACGCGGTCTCCTGTGTAGCTGCGGCTGCGAGCAGCACAACCACCACAATGTTCAGCCATGAACTCATCTGGAGGGAGCAAGGGAGCAGAGAATGGGAGAGGGGGAGCAGAGAATGGGAGAGCTTTGCTTGTGTGTGTGTGTGTGTGCGCGCGCGCGCGTGCGTGCGTGCGTGTGTGTGTGTGAGAGAGAGAGAGAGAGAGAGAGAGAGAGAGAGAAAGAGAGAGAGCGCCCTTTTGTTTTGGTTCTACTAGCTACGTGGAAGTAGTGACTCAAACCTTCAAGCCACTCTTCTTTCGTAGTACTGCTTAGAAGGGTTTTCGAGTGGAGCTGCTCAACTGGAGAGTCTACATCAGGAATCAGGATGCAAGCGGGACAGGACTACCCGCTGGACCGCGCTGCCCTGCCAAGACGGCGACCGCCCACCTGCTGCCGTGTTGAGCTCCAGCACCCATGTCCCCGCTGCCGATGCTGACTTGCTCGCCAGGCCAGATTCAACTTGCGTGGAGGAGGCTGCAAGCTGGAAGCTCGTCCAGTCCCGCCGTGTGCGCTTGGAGCCTCCGCCACTTTTGGCTTTCATGCCTCAGCAACGTCCCCGGCCACCTGCGTGGCTCAGAAACAGATGTTTTTGTTGCTTCGCAAAAGGCCATCGGGCAGCCGGATGCACGAGTCCGATCCGGTGTAAGCAATGCTTCTGCTCGGGACACCATGCACGGGATGGCTGCAAGCCGGCACCGTCGCCGCATGCTTCATGTTCTGCTCGGCCGCCGACCCATTCTTGGGGCTTCAGTTGTTGCGTCTCCACCAACATCAGGGATTCATGAGGCACTATGCAACATGAAGACTATTTGTCAGGATTCATTGCCTTCCTCGTTGATTGCTTCGAGTTCTACCTGGAAGGATGTGGAGGAGGCAATTAAGCCGCTTCGTGAGGTCGCTGACTCTTTGCAGGGCTGGTTAGTGCGTGTTGGGAGCTTTTTAGAGCGTGCGGAGGTTGCTCTGCAAAGGTTCCCTGTTCCACCGGCTCCCATGGTTGAGTCTGTTGTTGGCTTCGTGGATGAGGCAGATGCAGAGCTCTTCGGTAGCTTCGCGCCTCGTGCTGGGTCCAGTTCGACACCATCTGTGTTGACGGGCTTTGAGGGTGAGGCCTGTGCCGAGGTTGTGTCTCTGGCGCTGCAGATCATGCCCGAGCTACAGATATTGTGTGGGAAACCTGCTTCGCCTCTGCTGACGGAGCAGCTCAAGTTGGGATCTCTCCAGGCTTCTGAGGTGGCCCTGGTGCCCTCACCACCCCCCGTGGAGCCTTGTCAAGTGTCAGGCGGCCTAGCACTCAGCGTCGTGGAGCATGGAGTTTCAGATATTGCTACCCTTCCCTCGCCTGTGACCATCGAGCAAGTGGTGCCTATGAGTGGCATGACCATCGAGTCAAGTGTGTCGGCACCTGCTCGAAATTCTAATGCTCTCTTCGCAAAGGAGCTTTGTGGCTTGCTTGCCAGCGTGGAGGTTGCTAGACCTGGTTTGGGTAGGTCAATTGCTTGCCTCCTAACTGGGACGCCAATAAGGGGCAAATCAAAGAAGGTCGGCAAAGGCAAGAGTGGTGCCATAGGGAAGACGAATATGCTTGCTTGATGGATGATCTCCGATCTCTTGGCTCGTCCTCTTGGACTGGGTTGCCTTTGTTGTTTGGGAGGAGCATGATGTCTTGTGTCGAGCTATTCTTTTTGGGTCACTTGGTGTGGTAACAATGTCGAGGTTGGTTGTTGTTAGTTTGGAGGGGCGTATGTGTCGTTGTGGGGTTTCATGTCATGTGAGTAGTTCGTCTGTGGTACGTTTGTAATGGTTTTCGCCCGATTTTCCATAATTAATTGGGCAATTCTCTTCTTCTTAATTAATCGATAAGGCAAAAAAATTGCCTCCGTTTTGAAAAAAAAACTACTATTTTATGAGAAGTCGGGGCCACAAAAGGCCTCCAACAGCTTCCGTTGCACAATTTTTGCCATCCAATGCCAGTAACCAAATTTGCTCGGAAATCAAAACCAAATGTATGGGAGGTTTGCCGGCATCCGGACATCTAGCATCCAAAAACTCCACCAGGAGCCCGCACATTTGGACATAAACCACAACTTCCATACCAAAGCGAGTGAATTGCGAAAAAACACCACATTGAAGCGTAGATTTGCAGAAAAGACTCTTCTACGAATTTGTGCCCGAAAACATTGATTCTCGGCCTAATCTTTTGCAGAAAACACTAGTTGATGGCTTTGGCCCATTTGATGACGATTATGACAGATGGAGCCCACCATTTGCTGATGTGGCTAATGGTCTTTTTGCCAAAACATCCTCCCTTATCTGAAAAACTACCCTCTCCCTGCTCCTCCACCTTCCTCCGGCGCGCACCTGCCTCCTCCCGCCTCCCAGCGCCGCCACCTCCCTCCCGACGCGCCCCCGCCTCCCAGCGCGCCCCCGCCCTCTCAGCGACGCCACCTCCCTTCCCGGCTACGACCCCGACACGCAGCTCGGGTGCAAGCGCAACAAGCGGCGGCCGCACGGCGGCAGGCAGCTTGGGGCGCGACCCCTGCTTCCCGACGGAGCAAGCGGCGCCGACGACGCACAGCTCGGGCACAAGCGGCGGCGTGCTTGACGCCGCCCTCCCAGCAGAGGAAGTAGCAGCGGTGGCCCCCTTGACCCCAATCTCCCAGGGGAGCAAGCAGCAGCGGCGCCGCGCAGCTCGGCACAGGCAGCGACGGCGGCGCGCAAGCTGCAACCTCGAGTGAGGGCGCGGTGTCCGACGATACCGAGCGCATGGCGACTCCAAGCCAGCAGCGCTGCCGCGTGCATGAACCAGCCACCGCCTCGTCCTCTGGTGCTCGTCCCACCACCGCCAGATGCG